GTTGAACAGGTAAGACTAAAAAAATAACTCACAAACTAATTTTTAAATTAATGAATTTTGTGGCCCACCAGTTGTTTGAGTGTGCCGGTTTTGGCAAAAAAATAAAAAATAAAAAAATAAAAAAAATTAAAATTATGCCACAATTATACCCAACAAGTCGCAGGTTGTTGATGAGTTTACGAGTTTTCAGTTCTGAGAAGATGAAGGGAAAATTGGTTAAGACTGATTACTACGTCCTGATTGCTCATTTACACAGATTTCAATGATTGTTTGTTGCTGCACAGATAATTAACGGAGGCCGGGTGTTCTGTGAGCAGTGGCTAATTTACGCTCAGATGTGGTGGGGTAAAAATAACAGGCTGTTAGGGAGTCGCTGAGCCAAGGTGGTAATAAGGGCACATAGTCAGATTTAACACGTTCACAAACACAGAGACCCATCTGCTGTAAGGGGAACCACATGGTAGAGGACTCCCCATGAACAAGTTGTGGGTCTACTACGACCTGACTGGTGACATCAGCATGTTTCATAACCACACAGCAGTTTTAATAGGTTTATATTAGCATCTGTCCTGGGGGGAAACCTATTCATTAACAGGGTTGTTGATTAATATCCACCAACAGATGCCCATAGACTTAAATTCTCACATTTGCCACCATCGAAAACCTGAACCTCTGCGGATGTTCATGTGCTGCACCTTTCCCAACAGACTCCAACTGTCTTTGTCTTCTTCTGTGGTTTTGTCTTCCACTTATTTTTAGACCCCCTTTCGCCCTCGCTCTCCTCCCTCCTCCTTCTGTGCATCTCGCTGCTGAAAGAGTCCTAAAGAAAAGAGAATAGGCGTAGGAGGACAAAGTCATCTTGATCAAGATTATTAGACGTTAGAGTAGGCAGTGGAAAGAGCTCAAAACTTTCCAAAACCAAGTTTAGCTAGCTGATCTTTTTGGAAGTCATATTTAACAGCATTAGAAATATTTTTTTTTCAGTCGTCTTGCCTACCATGCTTGTTTGATATTTATATTAGGATCAGAGGTGATGTCACACTGTGTGCGCTTAAGAGCCATTACTCTTAGACAGGGTTTTGCTTCCTTAAAATAAAGACAAATCTATTTGGAGTGTACATTTTTAAGTCTCTTAAACCATATAATTAATTACTGTAAACATTTCTAAATCCAGCAGGTTCCATGACAGAGGAGGAAGTTCAAGAATCTCCAAAGGATAAAATAGACTAGAGTGTTACACATGCTAGGAAACTCCTAAAAGGTTAAATCTATGGAGCATGGCACCTTGTCTCAGAGTCCAATATGTTTTAATGCTGAGAAATGGTGTGTGTTAAAGCTACAGATATTTTCCTCTGCGTGTTTTTGCCCTAAATCTTACCCAGCTGGTCACACAGACCACCTGTATTTGCTGCATCATACATTCAAGCTCCATTGCAGAGTTTCCCCTTTCACCAGTCAGCTGATAAAGGGTTGTGACTAGATCAGTTGGTGATTCAGGGGAGTAACAGTGTTTCAAAAATACACTAGAAACAGCAAAAAGGCATCTTAATCCCACCTGTAAGTGTTTTATGATAATGACTAACTATAGCAGCTATAAATATGTCCACTCTCGTGTTTAGAATGACCAGTTTTCTGCTGGTCAAACTGAAAATCTGCCAGTTCTGATTTCTGCTTGTATTTTTTTTTTAAGACAGACCTTGGTGTGTTTCTGTGAGACTGAATAAAAAAAGCTTCTTGAGCAGATTTGTTCATTTCTATGATTTTCATGTGATGCATTTCTTTTACCAGGTTGACAGGCCGCAGAAGTTATTTTCTCTAGCCATTGTGTATTCAAAGGCACCAATAACGGCATGTGCAAACATAATAAAAGGATTATATGTGATTATTTTTTGTCTTTCTACACACATTTTATTAGCTGCAGCGGATCTACATCAACTTACATGTGGTCTGGTTTAACATGATGAGTAGTAAGACACATTTTCCTCATGGGGGGAGCATTTAAGTACATCAGAATCCCACCAGTGTTTGCCCTTTCAGCATTTATTGTCACTTCTTTAAGCAGAAGTGACAATAAATGCTGAAAGGAAAACGTCTGACAATACGAATATCGACAGACGGTTCTCGTAGTTGCCAGTTAGACATAAGCTGGAGTGCTGTGTCTTTAGCAAACCCAACAAACAGAACCAGAGTCCAACAAGGACGTTTTGATCCCTCTAGATCCCATCCCTCATTGATTCCTGGCTCTGGGTGTTGATGTGTAAACAGCTTAGGGGATGTGATGGAGTCATGGTGGCTGAGGAGCTTGTGGAGCAAAAGGAGCCAACATGACTGCTGTTGTGTCTCCAGCACCACATCTTTAGGCTCAGCACTTTCTTAGTCTGAGACATTTCAACATATTCATGTTGTTTTGCAGACAGGACAAGCCTTCAGAACTGAGATGTACTATTTGCTTCCTGACTTTATGAATGTTGATGTTGTAAAACCTGCAGTAAGTAGATAGTCCAGCTGCTGGTTGTGCTTTTGGGTGGTCTGGCTGTTCTGAATAACTGAATGCGCTGAAGCCTTCTCCATCTGCAGTGTGTAGCTCAACAGTAACATATAAGATTCCTACTCTGGCTTTGGTTTAGTTCATTTTCCACTAACCCTCCTTCTTATCCCAAGTCTTTACATCCAAACTCTTCCTTTTCCAGTTAGTCCTTAATAAGTGATGTAAGTTTTATCCGTCTGAACCTCTCTCTTTTTGATGTCTACCTTTCTTAAAGGGGGGGAGGTATTATGTAAAATTGACTTTTTTGAGCTTTATTTAATTTTATAATGTTATTCCCTCATCAAAAGCATTGGAAAAGAACTACATAAGTTCAGTCCACTTACCATTTACCATACCTGGAGTGTGGCTTTGATTATTTCCTGCATGTTTGAGGAATCTCTGAATATCCGATGGCGGCCATTCGGGTTGTTCACATCAGGCAACAAATCAGCTTATCAGCTGGCAGAACGTTGTGCAGGACATTTTATGGAACAATGAAGAAGAGTGGGGGTCACTGTGAGGTGGTGCTTACTCTTTAATTTGTGTCACTTACTAAAGAAAACAAGCTTTTCATATTCAGCGGTAACTGAGCTCATTTGAAGCTGTAAGAACTCTGATTACGTTGTTGAAGTTGAGTTCATATTGGACCACAGGGTTTAGAATAAATATCACGGTGGTCTTAAACAAACCTTTAGCCTGACTTCAAAATAAGCATATTTCCATCTACAATTACAACCACATGCTTGTTCTGTGTGTGTTCTTCTAGCAGTAGAGGTGGCTGTTTAGAAAATGTAGGCTTAAGCAGAAGTCAGTGTTAGATGATGGTCTGATGTATTTAAGTTGTATTTAAGTTGTTTTTGACATAAACTTAAACAAGGCAGTTTCTGTGCTTATACTTAGGAACATGAAAAAAACAGAGTTCAAATGTGTCAGACACAAAATAAAGCAAGTTAAATGCTAATTAGACAGTGAGGATAGTTAGAGATTCATTTTACAATATCCTGCATGATTATACACATTTTACATGAATATGAATACAAATACCAGGAGATAAATCAGTAAATGACTTGTATATGTTTCCAGTGCCTTGCAAAAATAATTTTTACCCCATAAAACTGTTTGCATTTTCTGACGTTTTAGCCACAAGCTATGGTGGTGACAGAATCATGCTGGGGGAATAGTTTTGTTTCCACTATTTCTGGCAGAAAACCTGTTTGAAACTGCAGTGAAAGTTCACCTCATAGCAGGAGAACATCACTAAATGGACTGAACTTATATAGTGCTTTTCCAATCATTTTTGACCACTCAAAGCACTTTACACTGGAGTCACATTCACCCATTCGCACTCACATTTATACACCCACATGCAGATCAGTAGGCAATTTGGGGTTAAGCGCCTTACCCAAGGGCACATTGACATGAGGAAGCTGGAATCAAACCTACAACCTTCTGATCACAAGATGACTACTCTTACAGAGCCAAAGTCGCTATTAGACATACAGCACAATAAATAAAAAACCTGAAGCATATTTATGTTAGAATGTCCTAGTCAAAGTGCAGCCCTGACTCCAACTGATAGTCTGTGGAAAAATTCTAAATTTACTATCGAAAGTTGTGTTTTTTATTCAGTTTTACTGGAGCTGGAGCTAAGTGTGTAGATGTGCAAAACAAGAAGAGACCTACAACTAAATAACTGTGGCTGTAACTGCAGCCAGATGGAGTTGCTGCAGCACAAATACATAGCACACTTTTCACATTTCGCCAATTTGCGAAGCCGTATTCAATTTCCTCTACTACTCGGTGCCGGTCTATCACAAAACATAATAAAGTAAAAATACAAAAAAAAAAAAGTTAATCCTAATAGCTTTATAAATCAAAGCCTAAACACTTGACCCACAAACCTCCTGGAACTGTAAGCAGATGGATTACAGCTGTGCACACACCAGTTCCCGTTTCAGCATCTCACCTGAACAGGCTCTGACATTTTAAGATGCTCCATATGTTTCTCCGGTTCTGCCAGCAAATGTTTTCTCGGCTGGACAATCTGGAGCAGAAACCACTGCACCCCAAACATGACGAACGCTAATCACTCAGCCATTTGTTTGTCTGGGTGTGGCCTGTTGGTTTCATTCTGCACAGCTTCATCTGTTTGGAGCCCTGCCTGGCGCACAGCTGTGACCTGCCCTTTAGCATCCGACACCAGAGGAGTACCATGTACCCCTGGTAATACATCGCTATATTAGCTAACCGTGGCTTCAGTTCTCACTCTGAGCACATCTTGCATCTATTCCCCTGCTTCCAGCCTCAATTCTCGCCCTCTCCCCCAGTGCACTCTTGACCAGTGCCGATAGAGAGCAAAGAAAACTGTGTCACCTCCCGCCATGACTCGTTTAATCACTCCTCCTCCTCCTCTCTCTCTTTTCTCAATCCTTCCACTCCCATCTTTCGTCGCTCCCAGGATTGGGATCGTCAAACATTGATCTGTATTTATTTTTAGAGCAGCTGTGAGCATGCGTGCGTGTGTGTACAGTATCTGTGTGTGCCTGTAAATCAGACGCTCCTCCATGCCAACACGTGGGCAATTTGACTGTGTTTGGGTGCGCGTCCTATTGTGTGTGTCTCTGCGTGTGTCAGGACTTTCTTTTTCACAAAGTTAATCCCTTAAGAAGAGGTGTGGCTCTCTCTCTCTCTCTCCCTCTCTCTCTCTCTGTATCTCACTCACAATATCATCACATGTTCTCTCGCCGCTCTCTTCTTCTCTCTCATCCTTTCCCTGCGCTATTATTGCTGTGGCCGCTGGTCCAAGGGAGTTCTTCCTCTCTTCTCTCGGTTGGCTCGTCATCTCTGCATCGTTCCTCATCTGCCTGTGGATCTTGTGTTTGATGAGTTTTCAGAGCAACATGGGGGAGGCCATTGAACTCAGGTGAGTCGGCTTCAGAGTAGGAGGTCTGCTGACGGCTTATGGCCAAACATACTCTTGCATGTTTTCTGCTTATGCATGGATTTCTGTGTCAAACTTGATCAGCTGCTGCAGTTGCAGACAGCACTTGGAGCCTCATCTTGCTCTGAGTCTGTAACCTTGACCCTAATCCAGCAAAAGGGTGCAACCTGCAGCCTCTATCAAACTTTAAAAGACCTGTGGCTTTTGCAAAAGTGATGTCTCTTTTTCTATTTTGGTGTTGATGTTTTTCTTGAGGTACCAGGCTCTGGGACATGTTGAGTCTCCGCCAAACTGTTAATAGGTCTAGCTGGTATCCACAGAGCTCATAGCAGCTTACAGCCTTAGCAGATGCATTAGACCCCATGCCCATATGGAAGAGATTAAACCTGCTAAATTGATACTAACACCCAACATGTTTTCCTTTTTTGCTCAGAGGTCATGGCTGCACATTCTGGGCAAGCATCAGTGGAGATTGAGGTCTCATGTTTGTGTGTCACACGCTAGCGTTCAAAGGTTTTGGTTGAAAACGTTAGTTGTTAAGTGAGTAAAGGGGGATTCAGTTAAATAAAGAATCAAAATTGTGCAAGCTAAAAGTAAGTGGATGAATAAAAGACTTGAGTTGTCATGGCTTGGACAGGGATTTTGTGTCCACAACCACTAAGCTGCTAAGGCGTGGGATCTTTAATTTATGCTGTTTTTGGGTAAACTGCGCCACAGTGTTCAACTCGCTGACGTTGGGGCTCTAATTTGTCAGCTGTCTGTCCTAAAGCTAATCAGAGAAACCTTTCAAGTTGGAGTTTTATCACCAAACACAGACGTGTTGTCGGTGCAGATGGTCACGCTGCCATAAAACACTCAGGACCTGTTGAAAAACGGTACTGATGATGTAAGATGATATCACACTGGCCCGGCATCGATTGGGCAACAGAGCAGAACATGGAACATGAATATGTTTTAATGCTCTCATTTCTCTCTTGATGTCATGCGTTGTTGTAGTCAAAATAGTGTAGTCTGTGCTGTGACATGTAGCACAGAATGTATAGCTTCCATGTTGCCTTGTGTGATAAAGACTGGGAAATCTGCAGTATTTATAAAGGCGGCTTTTGTCTCGGTGGCAAAATGTTAGCCAGTGTGACGATTTTGTACTTATCTTCTTAATTGTGAGGCCATTGTGAAGCTCTCATAATTGGGTGTAAAGAGGAAGTCCATATTGAGTTCAATGTGATTCATTCCAGAGGCAGCAATGAAACAAGCAATACCCTGTCATTGCACAAAAACATGTCAGCATTTACAACAATGACAAGGACATTGTCCAGTGTGAACACCTCATGCGTACTTGTTGGACGTGCGAGGAATCCAACATTCAGAGACAGTCTGACTCTGAAACACAAACCTGCAGCAGAAGCAGTGATGATGAGAAAAATAGATGACAGGGATAAAGTCCTGTGCCATTTCTTGTCTCGCGGAAGACATAATGTTTGGAAGGCCTGTCATGACATTGCATTAACTATATGCCTGCTGATGGTGATGGTTGCACTGTGCTTTGGTGCTTATCTCACTGCACAAGAGTTGGAGCAACTTGGGTAGGTTTCCAGTCCATTAAAAGCATGAAATTGTGTAACATTATTAATGTGAGTTACATTTTCCAGAGAGAGTTGGCTGAGGTCATACCACAAATTTTAATGTGGCTTATAAATCCATGGGAACTTGTTGTTGGTGATGACTCTTTTAATGCTGGCAGAGTCACATAGTTAAAAAGGCAATGCTGTTAATGTCTGTTGTTTTAAGCATATCTGTCGTATTCCAGGCCTCAACCAGTCTTCCCGTTGAATTTTTTTGCAGTTGTAAAGTATTAGAACCAAGGTGGGCATTTCTGGTTGCTGAGAACCGGGGTCCTGCATGTTCTAGGTGCTCCAACATGGCTGATTTAAATAGTTGAATGATCTCCTCAGCCTGTCAGCTGGCTTTTCAGGGGCTTGTTAACAAAAGAGCCATTTAACTCTGATGTGTTCAAGCAAGAAAACATCTAAAGCACGCAGGACATTAGCCAAATGAGAACGAGAGATGCCTACCCTTCTGCAGAACTGCGGTGCTCAATTCTTCTCCATTATTGCGTGTTTAAATAGCTGAACTATCTCCTCAAGGTGTTGAGTTCTGCAAAGGCCTGAGAGTGAACCATTTATTGGAATACGATGTGTTGAACCAGGGAAACATGTAAACCATGCAGGATAGAGACTACTGGGTTTATTGCCACTGGAAAAACTCTAAACCTTTAGCATGAAGATTTCTCGTATATTTGATATTGCATGTAAACTCAGTGTTACAGGTGTGGCCAAACATAACCAAGCTCCTCCTGTATTCTCTCCCCAAGTCTTTCATGGAGGAAAACAAACACCTGCTTATTGTTTGGATGAAGCAAATGAATCAGAATTTTGTGAAAAGGTTTTGAAACATTTGTGAAAGACCATTTGAATTCTCTTGAACAAATGCACTGCCTCTCACATCTAGTGGTTCCTTTTCTGATTTTCACTCCCTGCCCTCACGGTTGGATTGCTGAGGAAGCCAGGTCCCAGGCGTGTTACAAAAAGGAAGGAGAACAGGCTTGAAGAGTGAGAGTAGTGCATGCAACAGAGACGGTGTGATGGGTGAAACGAGGACAAATGAAAACCAGCAAATCAGAGCCAGAGGATAAGACAAAGGGTGCGACAGCAAAAGCCGAATCTTAGGAGCTTAAAAAGCATTATGTTTTTACACAAAAGCGATGCATTGTGGGTAAGGGCAAAGTCAATGTAAAGAGGAGTTATTGTGGAGGAAATATCAATTTCCTCCTTTTGTCAGCAGAGGAAGCAAGAGGCAATAATTAACTGAGGGATTTATTTGGTCTCCGAAATGATTCGAGAGTTCAGAGAAGACAAATAAAATCCGTTTTAAGTGTAGAAGTGTTTGCTATTCACAGAACCTTCTCAAATCGAGTCATCAGAAGCGCACCAGGCCCCTTGGCAGTCTTCTCTGACAGGGGAGTGTCACGTAAATCCGTTCAAATAAATCATAAGGGTGGGGTTGTCAAGAGTCTAATGTGTTGCAGCCTCAATAAAGGGTCCCTCATTTTGGGAAAGTTTGCATCGTGATTGATTTTTTTCATTTTTTTATTTTTTAATTGGATTGAATCTGATATCAGAACGTGATATTGTCGACGTTATTTTATTATTTCCTCAATTTAGGAGGATGATCTCTTTGCCTGGAGCTGAAACTTTTACAGCCTGCTTTGCTGAGTTGTAGTACATGAGATACACCAGCCTGGAGGGGTCCGGTTTATAATGATAGCGGGGGAATACAAAGTGGGAACACGACACGACAATATCATGCTGGAGTGTATCGACCGGGACGCTCCACTTCACGCCTCGCTACACTATGTTTAGATTAACTTGCTGGTGCACACATGGGCGCACAGTTTTCACAGCCCCAGACATGCTGGCATGCAGACGTCTGTGCGTGTGTGTGTGTGTGTGTGTGCGTGGGCGTGTGTGCATGCATGTGTATGCGCTGGCGCTGACGCAGACAGGAATCTATTTATCTAAACGAACAAACAAGAATGCACACAGCGACAAAGGACACAATGCACGCCTGGTCTGTAGCCTCTTTGCCTGCTGTCCAAGGGCAGAGGGGATTTGGATATTGTTACGTTAATCTCCCTCTATTTGGCTTCTTGGAACACATTCAGATAAACAGACTAGCACAGCCGCACATACACAGGTATGAAGTCGTGTGTGTGTGTGTTTTAGGAGACGAAAACACACACACATATTGGAAAAATTTCCCAACACACATGCAATTAAGGATGTAAACTACCTTCTTTTAGCTTCAGGTTTATTCCCAACCTTACCTATGTCTGTTGCCTAGCAACCGGGATGATGCAAAACACAAGAAGGTAAAAATGAAGCTTTATATCTTGCTGAGCTTTTTGATTACATATTTGATCAGTTTAATTAATTTAATCAGTTGATTAAAAAAATATGTGTACAAATGTTGAATTAAGAAATATGTCTATGCAAGATAGCAAAAACCCAAAAACACAATCGATTTAAGTCCAGTTTATTTTCAGCAACAAGGCAGTTCAAAGTACTTTTCATAATAAAAACACACAGTCATCACTTATGAAACAAGTAATATTATTTTTATATTTGGTCAAATGTAAAAAAAAATTATAAAATGATTCAATTACGACTAATCAAATGGAACTTTAAACAGGTGATTTTAAAGTTGCGCTGAGTTATAGGAACCAGAACCAAACAGCCTTCAGCTGAATGCTGCTTCTCCATGTTTGGTTCAGGTTCTGGGAATAACAGAACCAGAACCGGAAAACCTCAGTGGTCTGGAAAGTTGATACAACAACAGCAGATCTTTAATGCGCTTCGGTGCCAAGCCTCTCAGTTATTGTTGTCGTGACTGATTGAAAAGTTATTTTGTGGCTTCCTGTCAACTGTGGCGCCCTGGATCGTGAGCCGTATTGCCTCCTGCCCCCATGCCTGTTTTGGATTGAAACACTGAAAGTAAAACAATATGACCTGTAAACCAGAGATCTGGAGTGGTAGAGGCAGAGCAAGCACCAGTACTCATATGAATGTTTGCTCTGCTCCCCTCTGCATCTTGCTGCAAGTCTTCCATAATGCAATTTAAAATTTCCAGTTAAATCCTATTTGCCGGTGAAGACAGAGAAGCAGATCATTTTGTTTTCTCCAACTCCCAGACCGACCTCCTCACTCAGCTGCAGGACCGGGGGAATAGATCGCTCCAGTGCATGTGGCTCTCTGCTTTAGCTGTTTTCTTGTCATCGCTTCTATTGACTTTTATATTTATTTTCAGATAAATTTTTGAAAACACTATGAAGTGAAAGAGAATATGTTTGGAAATGCTCATGTATGTATTTGAGAATTGTAGTGTGTTTGTTAGCATATATTAGGAGATGGTGGGTGCGGATATTA